CCCGCAGCCCCCCGCGCCCCCATCGCCCCGCACCCCAAAGCCCCGCTGCCATCCCACGTCCATCCCCGCGCCCCACCCGTGCCCCCAGCCCTCCACCCCCCCGCTCACAGGGTGCCGCTGTAGGGCCGCAGCCCGGCCCCGATCCCGATCCCCCCGGGGCTGTACGCTGCCCCCGGGGAGGGGCCCCCGGCCCAGAACGGCGGCGGTACGCGCGCTCCCCCGACCTCCATCTTAGTCACCGTGCGGCCGCGCTGCGCACGCGCGCCGGAAGTGCGGCCTCCGCCGGCCACCGTAGTGCGAGGGGCGGGGTGGCGCCATCCTGAGGGCGGCGCGGGATGGAGAGCGCAGGGCGCGCCATGTTGGGAGTGGCGGAAGTAGGACAGGGTTGAGATAGCCCGTGGGGGCGTGGTTAGGGGCGTGGCTTGTATGGCTTTGCCCCACCTAAAGGCGGGGCCTTGAGCGGAGTGGCCCAATGGGAGCGCAGGGGGCGGGGCGTGGCGGAGGTAACAGGTTGGGGCGGCGGCGGAGGTGTGCGGGGCGGTGCGGAGCGGTGAGTGCGGGGCTGGGGGGAACGGGGGGTCCTGACGCCACGGCAGGGCCCAGAGGGGCCGGGGCATAGGGGTCAGGGTCTGCGGGTCTTGTCCTGCCCTGTGGCAGAGCATATAAGGTCTCGGTCTGTGTGGGCTGCTGCCCTTAGAGTGTGTCCTGCTCTGTATTGGAGCCTATAGGGTGTGGGGCTATAGGGGTCGGGGTCTGTGTACCCTCTTCTGGCCAATGGCAGAACCCACTGGGGCCAGAGTCATAAGGGCTGGTGTCCTTGCAACCTGTCCTGTCCTATGATGGATGTATAGGGGCTGAGTCCAGAGTTACTGGGGTCCATGCAGCATGTCCTGCCCCATGGCAGAACCCAATGGGGGCTGGGGTCTGGGGTCTCTGCTCCATGGCAGAGAATATAGGGCTGGGTCCATTGGGCTGCTGCCCTTGGAGCTTGTCCTGCCCCACGGCGGAGCCCATAGGGCTGTGCCTGCTGGTGTTGTCCTTCCTGGGTGCGCTGTGCCCTGTGGCACTGCCTATAGGGCTGGGCTGCAGGGCTGCCCTTCCTGGGCCGTGCCCTTCCCCACGGCAGAGCTTATAGGGATGGAGACCTGCAGCAGGTCCCACTGGGGCTGCATAGGGGTTGCTTGACCCTATGGTCCCCATAGGGTCCCCTTACAGATCCCATAGGGGCTGACTATTGGGAGATGCTCTGCCCTACAGGATTCTCTGAAAGTCCTTGTTCTGGAGTGTGATGTGTCCCGTAGCCCATCCCATAGGATGCACCCCAGTAAAGACCATGCTTTGGGTCTTCCTCCTCCATCTGTAGGATCCCTCTGGGAACCTCTGTGCCCTGTAACTCTTCCCTGCCCCTGTAGATGCTCTGTCCCTTCCATAGCGAATCTGCATTTCCTTATAGACCCTCTGGCTCCCCATGAACCCCTCTACAGGTGGTGCTGTCCCCCTCCCACAGAGCCCCACTGCGATGTTCCCATAGGCACTGCTCTGTAGGGCCCCAGAGCCCCACAGATCCCATTCCTGTCCCTTTCAGGGCTGCTCTGCTTGTAAATTCCACGCGGCCTTTGTGGCTCCATCCTTATCTCTGCTGATAAGAGCCATGTCCCAGCCCTGCTCCTCCCACCCCGAGCACCTCTGGGACTGTGAGTCCGTTCCCTCCAGACCTTGTTAGGATCGAGATAATTGTTTTGGAACTGCCCAAGGCTGAGCCCCATCCCACAGTGTTGCTCCAGGACCTCATGGCATCACTGGTGCCGACCCTTCCCGGCTGCGGGCGGCCGTAACGCGGCACCTCCTGCATCTTTAATGCTGCCCTACTTTGCCCAGTGCTCAGCTTCAGCAGGAGAGAAATGCATGCACAGTGGGACGCGATACCCCCAGCCCCGATCTGCCCCATTGTGCCCAGTGCTGCTGGGGTCTTGGTGCCAATGGAACCCTAAATGCAGCTTGGCGCTGCCCCCATCCCTGCAGTGCGGGGTAGGGCTGCCCAGCTCAGCTGTCCCCAGGATAACCCGTCCCTATGCTCCGTGCCCGCTGTTCCAACCCTTTGTTTGGAGCGTGCGGATTGCTCTGGGCTGGGTTTGCTTCCCACCACCCTGACCAGTCAGGCTGGTTTGGAGCGCGGCTTCCAGCTTGGGTCCCATAGATAAGAATCCCATAGATAACGATTCCGTAGATAGCGGAGCAGGGCTCCCAGCTTGGATCCCATAGATAAGGATCCTGATCCCTTAGACAGTGATCCCATTTAAAATGCTGCTTCCAGCCCTGATCCCATAGATAACAATCCCATAGAGAGCACAGCTTCCAACCTGGATTCCATAGATAAGGATTCCCTAGGTAACAATGCCATAGACAATGTGATTTCCAGCTTAGATCCCATGGGTAATGATCCTACAGACAGCATGCTTTCCAGCCCTGCTCCTGTAGGCAGCAATCCCATACAGAACGTGGCATCCAGCCCTGATTCCATAGATATCTATCCCACAGTACCTCCTTTTCTGGCAGTGATCCCACAGAGAGCGTGCCTTTCAGTCCCAACCCCAAAGACATCGATCTGGCCATTAGGGCTGGCCTTTGGGTTGGCTGTTTTCATGGACTGTTGGGGTTGGCCATGAGGGTTGGTTGTCAGGGTTGGCTGTTGGGTTTGGCCACTTTTGTGGACCATTGAGTTGACCACTGGGATTGGCCATTGGGGTTGGCCGCACGTGTGGACTGTTGGTGTTGGCCATTTGTGTTGGCTGTTGGGGTTTGCCTTGGACCACTGGGTTGTGACCCACTGGCAGCCATTCATCCCAGGACAGCTTTCCTCAATAACTGTTGGGTTTTAGGGCTGCATGCCCGCCGCAGCAGGGCAGGGATTGGGACGGGGCCGTCGGTGGCCTGGTTGATGATTAACCTGAGGTGACGTCCCTGGGGTGTGGGGCGGACGCAGCCCCGTGACGCGCTCCTGGTTTCGGGTTTCGGATCCTTGCACAGCCCCGGTGTTGGTCGGGGTTGCAGGCAGGGCGCTGCCAGCACACGGAACCACGCAGACTTTGTTCCTATTGAGCAATCGGTGCTGCAGGTGGAGCAGAGCCTTTGGTGCAGAGAGCCTGAAGCCCAAAAAACAGGCGGAAAAAAGAGATATTTTTGTGCTCAGATCCTGCTGTCCCCGTTCCCGTGCCTCGGGCTGGGACGTGCGGTGCCGATGGCCTTCCCCTCCCTGCGCTGCCCGTCCGTTGCACAACAGCTCTGTGGGTTGCGGTGCCCACAAAGGGCCCTTTGTGCTCCGTATCTGCATGAGCAGAGTTGGCCGCCTGCCACACGCAGCCGCAGGGACCCAACGGGCAGAGCTGGGTGCCATCGGGCTCTGTGGGCGAAGTGCCCCCAGGGACAACAAATAGGGTCCCCATTTTCGTCACCCTCATTTGCACTGCGATTCCCCTCCTGGGGGCTGTGTGCTGTTGTGGGATCAGCGCTGCGTTCCCGTGTTGGAATGCGGTCTGTTCCCCTTTATCTGAGTGCTGGAGCCCAGCCAGGACGGGGCATTCCCGGGGATTAGTGCTCACCTGCTCCTGGCTCGAGCTGTGGGGCTGCACCCTCTGCGTACCCATGGAGGAAAAGAATCCATCCTCACTACTGCACCCATAGGGTGGCAATGGGGTGGCCATGGGGAGATCATGACTGTGGGGAATCTTTAGGGTGGCCGCAGGGAAATGGTGCCATGGGGTGACCGTGGGGACACAACGTTCATGGGAAAACCATGACTGTGGGGTGGCCGTGGGATGGCAGTGGGGTGACCATAGGGTGACCGCAGGATGACCATGAGGACATTTGGGATCTGGTGCTGATCTCGTTACTGTGATGCCATGTGGGGACAACGAGCTCATGGCAGTGGCCCACGTCCCCATGGCCGCCCTGCTGGGTGCCAGGTGCTGCCACCTTTGCCATCTGCTCGGGGCTGGTTCCCTGCCACGGCTGAGCTTGGCACCAACTCTCCACCATGTGTTGGGTTCAGCAAAACCTCAGCACCGGCACCGCGGGGTCCCTGTGGCCATTTGTCCTCTGCTGTGTGCCCGGAGCTGACGCTTTGGGGTGGGCACAGGGGTGGATGTGTGAGGGCAGCACTGGGGTGACATCGGGACCGAAAGCTGGAAACGTGAGATTTTGGTGCCGTTTTTCCTTTCTCCCTACGTGCGGGACGTGGTGACCCCGGCTCTGTGCCACCATCCCATGGCCGTGCGCTGAGCGCGCGGTGCCCGCGGTGCCGCTCACAGTGCGGTTATTTTGGGCAGCGCACGGAGCTGCCGGCACCGGAGGCAGCGGTGGAGGAGCGCAGCGCTGTGGGGCCGGGGCTGCCCGGGGCTCTGCTGTCGCTCCGCATCAGTCCTGCCGGAGCTCCCGGCGCTGCGGTGTCCGCGGTTCGGTGGTGACGGAGGGCGAGCGGAGGACGTCGGTGAGTGCCGGGTGTCAGCGCTGCGCTGGGCTGCGGGGTCGGTCCGGCTCTGTGGGGTCGGAGCTGCATGGGGCTGAGGGTGCTGTGTGGGGCTGGCGGTCCACCGGCGCTTTCTGTGAGTGTTTCGCTGTCGGTTTGATCTGAGGAAAGGGCTCCGTCTGTGCTCAAAGCACAGTGGGATCGGGGGCTGTGCTGTGCGTGGGAGCAGTGCCACCGGGTCCGCAGCGCTGTGGGGTCGCATCCCCGCTGTGGGACTGCATCTGCACTGTGGGACCTTGTCTGTCTTATGGGGCGGCATCAACCCCATGGGTCTACATCTGCCTTATGGGGCCACGTCCACTCTGTGATGCAGTGTCCCTACTGTGGGTCTGCGTACCCCCTATGGGGCCATGCCTGTCCCTGTGAGGCTGCATTCCCACTATGGGGCCACATCTATGCTATGGGACCATGTGAGCCATACGGGGCCGCATCCCCCCAGCACTGGGGAGCACAGACCGTGGGTCCCAGTGTGACTCTGCCCTCTCCCCAGAACAGCAGCACCGCACCTGGCATGGAGCGCACGGCGGAGAAGCAGAGCCCGGTGGACTACGGCGTCCAGATCCGCTTCATCAATGACCTCCAGGAGCCCAAGAAGGCCCCGAAGGCGCGCGCCAAGCCGGGCTCCTACGGGGTGGCCGTGCGCGTGCAGGGCATCGCGGGGCAGCCTTTCGTTGTCCTCAACAGTGGCGATAAGGGCGGAGATTCCTTTGGGGTGCAGATCAAAAGCGACTGCTCGTACCCTGCAGGGACCGCCAGCCCACGGCCCCCGGATCCGCCCCCTGAGCCGGACCTCCCTGAGAACCCCTATGTGCACCCACAGCCTTCCTACAGCGTGTCGGATGAAGAGAACGGTGCCGCCCCGGTGCCCACCCGGCACAAACCCCATAGCAAGATGGGGGCTGAGCTGCGCCGGACGCAGTCCCACGGCAATCTGCTGGCTGCTGTCGATGAGCCCATGGCCACCAGGAGCAGCAGCACGCTGAGCATTGCCCACCCCACACACCGCAAAAGCTCTGCGATTGGGTTCACACCCTCCTCAGACTCGGAGAACCCAGAGTCACGGCACGCAGGTGGTGACATCGACACCGAACCGCTCTGCTCCGTGAATTCGCTTATCAGTAAATTTGATGGCAAAGTGCAGCAGCGCGGCCGTGCGGCGCGGCGATCCCGCGTGGCCCCGGAGGAGAGGAAGCGCTCGCAGAGCCTGGATGCCCGCAGCACCGTTCCTGATGGCCGCGCTGTGGGTGCACCGTCCCCATTGCCCACCGGGGCGGGCAGAAGTGCAATGGGGAATCGTGGCACTGAGGAGCGGTCACAGAGCAAAGCCCAGACAGAGCTGCAGGTACAGGAGGTTTTGGGTGGTGGTGGCGCCGCTCGGTGGTCCCGTGGCTGTGGGGTGGGAGTGGAACTCCAGTGTGGGATTGGTGCCCCATGCTGAGATCTCCGTCCCGCTGGCAGCTGAAGTCAACGCCGGATCTGCTGCGGGACCAGCAGGAGGTGGCCCAGCCCGGCAGCAGTGAGGACCCCAAGGAGCTCATCTATGGGATCCTGAAGGAGGGGTGAGTGTCCCCAGACCTGGGTGTGGCTGTGCCACATTGCAGGGCGGTTGGGAATGGCGATGCTGCATGGTTGGGTGTCAGTGGGTTGGGAACACAGCAGTGAAGTGTCCCATCCTTCCTTGTGCCCATCCTGCTCCGTCCCACACCCAACACATTCCCTCTGCCATGATGTCCCCAGGAGCAGGGACAGCGGCGCGATGCTGAAGAGGAAGGCTGCACTGGTGCTGGAGAAGCTGCAGGAGGTGGCGGTGAGTGGGTTAAGGGCAGGGTTAAGGTTTTGGGGTGCGGGGGGTGACACTGAGCCCAGGGTGTCCCCAGGCACCCACCAAGGGGACAGCGTGCACCCAGCCCCAGCACCGTGCATTGGCCCAGAGGGTGGAGGAGCTGCAGGAGAGGTTGGACGAGGAGAGCAAGGTGAGGCCACTGGGTGGAGGTGGGTGTCCCATGGATAGGGCTGCCATTGTCACCACTGTCCCCCCCCCATGCAGCTCCGCCAGAAGCTGGAGCTGACCAAGGAGCGCAGCACCGCACGGGCGCTGGAGGAGGCACAGGAGGAGAGTGCACGGCTGCGGGCAGCGCTGGAGAAGAGAATGCAAGAGCTGCAGAGGAGCACAAAGGAGTAAGGGCTGCATGGGGCCGTGTTCCTGCGGCGCTGTGCTGGGTGGCGGGGTCCCCGCACTGTCCTCATCCAGTGGTGTGGAGTTCACCATCCTTTGAGCTGTGGATGTGGTCTGGATTTCATTCTCCATCAGTGGGGTCTGAGGGCTCTGCTGTGCGTTGCTGTGCCCGCAGGCTCGGGGAGGCGAAGGCAGCACAGATGCGGGCAGAGGAGCAGCTGAAAGCGGTGCGCACAGAGATGGGCACAGCGGTGGACACCAACGCTCTGTACAAGGTATGGCAGCATGCAACTGCTCCACAACCATCCTTCACTGCGCCACCAACCACAGCGACCTGTGTGTTCCAGGAGCTGGAGGAGGCCCGTGAGGAGCTGGAGGAGGCCCTGAGCTCTCGGCAGCGGTTGGAGGAACATCTGCGGCTGCGGGAACGGGAGCTGACGGCGCTGAAAGGGGCTCTGAAGGAAGAGGTGGCCAACCATGACCGCGAGCTGGAGCGCGTGCGGCTGCAGTGTCACAGCGACATGGAGCAGCTCCGGCGCAGCGTGGAGGACATCTCACAGGTGAGGGCTCTGTGTTTGGGACCCGAGGTTTTGTGTCCTGCCCCATCTCTCTGTGCTCCATCCTTGGAGGAGCCTGGAGCTATCAGTGTTGCCTGGTGCTGTGGGGCCCCCTGCGTCCTTGGGTCACTTCCTGAGGGGCTGCTTTGTGTGGTGTTAAAACGGGCAGAGCCTCAGCATCCCCAGAGCATTCCTGGGCACAGTCTGAGCATCCTCAGGGCAGAGAATATCTGAGCAGAGCCTGAGCTCTGAACCTCCGGCAGAACATTCCCGGGCAGGGTCTGAGCATCCCCAGAGCATCCTTGGAACATCACTAGGCATTGCATCCCTGGACAGGGGCTCAGCATCCCCCAAGGATCCCACTTCAAGTGTTTCCCCCTTGTTCCCCAGAACCGGGCCGACCTGGAGTCAGAGAAGCAGAAAATCGGTGTGGTGGTGCGAAACCTTCAGCGTGAACTGGAGGAGAGTGCCGAGGAGACGGGGCACTGGAGGGAGATGTTCCAGCGGAACAAGGATGAGCTGCGTGCTGCCAAGCAGGAGTGCGTCCCAGCAAATCAGGGCGTGTGCTTGGGGTTGGGGGGGGTTACCGGACCCCTCCATCCCATACTCCCATTACCAGACTGCTGCAGGTGAAGATGGAGCGGGAGGAGTTCGAGGAGGAGCTGCGGGAGCTGCGGGAGCGCTTCACGGCCACGCGGGAGGAGGTGGAGAGGGCGCGGAGCAGTGCAGTCGACCCCGGAGAGATGGAAGCGCTGCGCACGGTGCGTAGCAAAAGGGGGATCTGGGTACCGTGTGGGCTCTGTCAGGGCCTCTGAGCCCATCCCATCCCCAGGAGCTGCGCCGGGTGCGGGAGGCACAGCGGGAGCTGATGGAGGAGAAGGAGCAGCAGGAGGAGGTGGTGAGGCAGCGGGAAGAGGAGCTGCAGGCACTGCGCAGCACTGTGCGGGATGAGGCCCAGAGCCACAGCGGAGCCATGGAGCAGTGCCACCGTGACATGGAACGGCTGCGGGAGGAGAGGGACGAGGCTGTCAGGGTGAGGGGGGGATGGGGATGGGGATGGGATGGGAATGGCAGTGGTGTTGGAGTGAAGAGGATGGAGACTGAATGAGATTGGGGTGGGATAGGGAAGGGCTCAGTGCTGCCCAGCCATGAGCCAAGGAGCAATCTCACCATGCTGCTGCAATGAGGCCCCAGTTTTGCACCACATCTCCTGAGCTCGGCTGGTGGCCATGGGGCCAGGTGGCCCATCCTGTTGTGTGGCTGCGTTGCAGGCGAAGGTTTCTCTGGAGGATGAGAGGGAGGCAGCAGAGGTAGCGCTGCGGGAGCTGCAGGAGCAGCACGAGGAGCTGCGGAGGAAGGTGCAGGGCATGGAGACGCAGCTGAAGGACTATGAGCTCATGGGGGAAAACTGGGAGGGCTCCCAGGCACGGCTCCGCGAGAAAGTCACCAAATTAGAGGTATTGTGGCTGTGGGTCCAGGCTGAAGGACACAAGGTTTGGGGAGATGAAGTCATATTGGGAACATGAGGACTTGGGGGGTGGAGGTGGCACAATGGGGACACTGGGGGCACTGGGAGATGTGGGAAATGTTGGGGAACTTCGGGACATCTGGGGGATGTTTGGGAACATGAGGTCACAGGGGAAGCAGATGGCACTGGTGGGACAGTGGGAATCATGGGGGAGAGTGCTGTCCCCCGATGCCATCCTCTCCCCCTCCCAGGCAGAGCGCAGACGAGCAGAAGAGTCATTGGGCGAAGCCACAGACCGTGAGCAGGAGCTGCTGCGGGCTCAGCGGGCGCTGGAGACGCGTCTGGATGAGGCGCAGAGGGGAATGGCACGGCTGGCACAGGAGCAGCGGGAGCTGAGCGCGTCCCTCCAGGACGAGCAGAGGCAGAAGGAGCAGCTGAAGCGTGCCAAGAGCGAGCTGGAGGAGCAGAAGCGGCTGCTGGACCGCAGCACCGAGAAACTGAACAGAGAGGTGGGGAGCGTCTGCACCTCATTGCCCCGTCACCCCTCCATGAGGTGTGGATGGAGGGCAGTGGTCCTCATGGATCTCCTCCATCCCACAACCCATAACCCCATCCCATTCGGAGGTCTTAGAGGGTGGTGGTCCTATGGATCTCCTTCAGGTGAGGTATCCCGTGTCTTGCTGGTCTCTGAGGTGCCCTGGCCAGGATAGGGCAGGAGTGCAGCACTGCAGGGCTCTGCCCCACTCTTTGGATGTGCTCATCCCATTGTTTTGATCCTTCCCCATTATGCTGGGATGTTCCTGTTTGTCCTCAGGCTCCCTAAATCCATGCTGTCCCCATTGATCTGCATGCAGGGTCACATTGTCCTTTGCTTTGGTGCACTTACAGCGTCCTGGTGCCTTCCAGCCCCCATCCCATGGGCTCCTGCCAGTGCCATGGGCAGCAACATCCCCCCCAACCTCACGCCTCCCTTCCCACCTCTGGTCCTATTGCTCTCCCACAGCTGGAGCAGATGACAGAGGAGTCCAACCGCTCACTGGCTGCACTCAAGGCTCAGCTGGAGGAATGCAAGGAGAAATCCCGCAAGGAGATCACTGATTCCCAAAAACAAGCCAAGGACCGCGGTGCCGAGGTGGAGAAGATGCAGTTCAGCGTGGGACGGCTGCAGGACGAGGTACAGCAGGGACTGGTGGCCACAGCCTTGTTGTGGCCCAGGTGGCCATGAGGCTGCTGTCCCCACACCGCATCTCACCGCTGTCCCCAGGTCAGCAGGCTGAAGCAGGCGGTGCAGGACAGCCAGGCGGAGCGGGACGGCGCGCTGCTGGAGAGGGATGTGATGCTGCAGCGCCTGCGTGGCCTCGAGGAGGAGGTGGATGCCAAGAGGCGCTCCCAGGACGATCGCTCGCGGCAGCTCAAGGCGCTGGAGGTGGGTTGGGACACCTGAAAAATGGGCTGTTGGCACACAGAGTGAGGCACTTGCAATCTGGGTATCCAATCACAGGTAACCAAAAATCCAGGGGTGGTGGTGCCCAAAGAGTGGGTCGTTGGATCCAAAATCCTGGGGTTGGGGCAACTAAAAACTAAAAGGATCATAGTTTCCCAAACACTGGGTCGGGGCACTCAAAATTCAGGGTCTGATTGCCTGAAAATCAGGGTCAGGGTGCCTAAAAAACCAATGGGGTCATTGTCACCCATAGAATGGGTCACTGGCACCCAAAAACTGGCGTTGATACACCCAAAAATCCAGGGTTGTTGGTGCCCAAATCTGTGGTAGGGGCACCCAAGAACAGGGGTCATTTCACTCAAAAACTGGGTTGGGATGCCCAAAGAATAGGTTGTTGACAGCCAAAATATAGGGTCAAAGTGTCTAAAATGAAGGTTGGGACACCTGAAAAATCAGTGGTGCCCAAAACTTGGGGTCACAGCACCCCAAAACCAGCCCCTGGCACACAAAAGCCAACTTTTGGCACCCCAAAACCGATGGGTCTCTAGTGCCCAAAAAGCATCCAAAAAGGCACCCAAACCCACACCTCCACCCGCTCCCTGCAGTGCTGAGTGCTGACAGCGAGGGGCAGAGCGTGCTCAGCCATCCTGCAGCTGCATGGGGCTGCGGTGCCGCGGGAGTGCACCCATATTTCCAACCCTGCCCAATGAAACCCCACAAATAGCAGTGAAGAGCCCTTCTCCCACCACTCCAGTACCGTCCTGATGCTGTGGGGCTGGCGCTGACCCTTCCTCTGCTTGCAGGAGAAGTCCAAGCGCCTGGAGGAGGAGCTGGAGGAGGAGCGAAGCACGGCCGAGCTGCTGACCGAGCGTGTCAACCGCAGCCGTGACCAGGTAGGGCGGCCAGCGGAAATCCCATGAGCGTGATGCAAAAACAGTGCCCCAAATTATGAGGGGAGGTTGGTGTTTGTGCAGGAAGTTGGAACTGTCAGCTCCCAATTAACCCAACTGCTCATTAGCTTCAAAGCTGGAGCTGACGCAGGAGCTGTGGCACGGGCGGCGCTGGCGTTGCCGATGGGTTGCGTGAGCTGCGGCCCCATTGCTTGCAGCTCTATGGGGTACACGGGCATTTCAGCCCCATGGAGCTGGGCTTTGGGGCGACTTATCCCATTTTTCATCCCCAAAAGGAGCACATCTCAGCAGAACTTGCTGAGTGATGGCAGTGACCAAGGCCATGGCCAAACCTCTCAACACTGTGGTATTGGCTTGGGCAATGGATAGCCCCATCAACTGTAGAGGCACTCTGGGCCCCAGGGGCACCCTGTGGGGCTGGGGGTTGGGGAGTGGGGTGGGTGACTTGGGTGGGTTTCCCATTTCTCGTCTCCAAACCGGGCACATCCCAGCAGAGCTTTGCTCCACGTGTCCTCAATTTGTCCAAATTGAGCAACGCAGTGTGTAGGTGGCAGTGAAACTGGAGCATGGCTATGACAGAGTCACTGTGTGATTTCTTTCGGGGCTGTTGACTTATCATTTAGGCAACGTTGCACAAAATCCCATTCCCACGACTTCAGAATAGCACCCAAAGCGGTACGGTTGGCTCTGGCTGAGCCCTGGGGCGTTGGGTTTGATCCATTGGTGCACCAAATCCATTTTGGCCTCAAGCACAGCTGCACCACGGTGCCCAAAGGTCCCCACTCCCAGTCCAACCAGTTAAACCCTCCAGTGGAGAATTGCAGCCTGCACACCCAGGGGTGGGAGGTGTGGCAGCTGCTTGTTAGGAATAGAAAGAGGACAGCTAATTGGGGAGGGAGCCGGCAGCCGCTCGTTGGGATGTGTGATCATTGGGAAGGGATTGGGGCTGGCACTGCTGTGACCAAGGCCAACATCCCCATCCCCAGATTGACCAGCTGCGTGCTGAGCTTCTGCAGGAGCGCTCGAGCCGCCAGGACCTGGAGTGTGACAAGGTCTCACTGGAGCGCCAGGTGGGCATTGGGGACCGGATCCCTTATACTTCCATGCCCTGAGTGATTGGAATGCAGTGGTGATGGGCACTGAGCTCCATGCTGCGCCATTACGCTGCGCCCTGGGCACCTCCCCATGCCCACGTCCCTCTGCGTTGGATGATAATTGCCACTGTATAACCATCCTCATTGTGGCCACTCCTTGGGAGAGGTTTCTGGGCTGGGATCTCCACCAGCAGCTGTGCCATCCTCCCCAGAGGCTGATGTTGACTTGGTGGCTGAGGCTGGGGTTGAGCTGACCTGGTGGCCAAAGCTTGGACTGACCTGGTGGCCTCCGGTGGCCTCCATGTCCCCTTCTCCCCAGAACAAGGAGCTGAAGAGCCGCCTGGCCAGCTCCGAGGGCATGCAGAAGGCGGGTGGCTCCGTCTCACAGCTGGAGGCACGCGTGGAGGAGCTGCAGGACCGGCTGCAGGCCGAGGAGAGGTAGTGGCCCCGTTGTCCCCACCGCCACTGTGAGCCAACCATACCATCAGGTCCTCACCCCACACCTCCCGGCAGGGAGAAGAGCATCCTCCAGTCCTCCAACCGCAAACTGGAGCGCAAGGTGAAGGAGCTGACCATCCAGATCGATGACGAGCGGCAGCACATCAACGACCAGAAGGACCAGGTGGGCACGTGGCCATGGGGTTGGTGGCCCCATCGTTGGAATGGCCACTGCATGGCGGTGACCCCACGGCTGTGGCTTTGTGGCCACCGTGGCGATCAATGGCCACATCCCCACAGCTGAGCCTGCGTGTGAAGGCGCTGAAGCGGCAGGTGGATGAGGCCGAGGAGGAAATCGAGCGGCTGGAAGCTGCCCGCAAGAAGGCGCAGCGGGAGCTGGAGGAGCAGCACGAGCTCAACGAGCAGCTGCAGGGCCGCGTCAAGGCGCTGGAGAAAGAGGCCTGGTAGGGAGAGAGGCCTCGCCGTGCTCCATTGCCCCATGGATGAGCTCCGTGCACTCGCCATGCCCCACATCCCCACCATGCCATGCCCCGTGGCTCGGCCCAACAGCTCCATCTCTCCGTGCCCTACGCTCAGCCCTCTCCTCCCTCCCCAGGCGCAGAGCTGCCCGTGCGGCCGCCGACTCCTCGCTGCAGGACGATGCGCTCAGCTCCGACGAGGACCTGGACAGCACCTATGGGCCCTCCTCCATCGCCTCGCTGCTCAACGAGGCCAACCTGCAGACCAGCTCCTGCTGAGCCCCACAGAGCCCCCAGGGCTGCAGGAACTGCTCAGAGATCTCCGCACCGCTGGCGTCGGCCATCGGCCCTCTTCTTCTGCGTGGCTTTTCGCCCCTGCTGGACCCAGGGTTGGTGGCTGTGAGGATGGAGCCAGTGGTCCCCAGGGAATGCCACCGCCCCTCAGCTCCGATTTATTTTTATATGCAATCATCTCCTTCGTTCCTCACCGCTCTTTTCCCTCTCAAAGTGCTATTTTCAATAAAATGGACCATTCCAACACCAGCAGACCCCATGGCGGTGATGCAGGACTGGGGTGCAGGGTGGGGGCATGCAGCTCCCTCCTGCCAGGCTGGGTCTGGCCCCAAGATACATCCTCATTATCACTAATTAACGAGAGTGGGAGCTGTGCCAGGTGCTAATTAGCACCATTGTGTTGATTGGCAGTGGTTACCGTCGTTCCCCTCTGTGGCCTCCAGTGGGGCCGTGCTGCCTCTGTCCCAGTGCCTCCTCTGTCCCCGCTGCCTCAGTTTCCCCACCTGCACTCGGTGTGGTGGCAGTGGGGCTGGGGGGGGACCCCATCCCGTCCCTGTGCCACATTTCGGATCCTGCACCCAACCCAGCACCCCACTGCAGCACAACCAGTCTGGCTCCTCCTGGCAGCACTGGGCTGCGGAGCCGTTTGGCTCCTGGCGTTGTTCCTGACACCGTGGGAGGCTCCGGGCTGTGCCCATCCCGTGGCCCCACTGCTGGATGGGGCTCGCTGAGCTCACGGCACTGCCATGTGGCAATGGGTGCCAGGCACACCAGGGTCATCGGTGGGGATGAATGGAGCACAACCTGCCCTGGCACAGCTCGGCACAGGATGCTGCAGCTTGGCTCTGCTTTGGCACTTCGGCACTGGAAGGGCTTTGGCAGGGCTTTGGCATCACTTTGGCACCAGTTTGGCACAGCTTTGTACCTCAGCCCCGCCAGCGCAGCTCAATGGCCCCGTGGGTGTGGCCAACGAGGAGGGGGCGTGGTCGGAACGAGTGGGCGTGGTTTAAACACATTTAGCATATGGTGGGGGCGTGGTTTAGAAGAGGTGTGGCATCTGAGGGGGCGTGGTCGGGACGAAGGGGCGTGGCCTCATCACGGATATGGAGTGCTTGAGGGAAGGGGCGTGGTGCGGTGTGGGCGTGGCCTCTGCGTGGAGGGGGCGTGGTCAGGAGGGGGTGTGGCCGTATATAGGGGCGATGTGCGGAGCGGGGCCGCAGTCGGGGCCATGAACGGGGCCATGAATGGCATGCGGGGGTGGTGTGCAGTGCTGGATGTGCGGCCCCACGGAGAGAGCCCGGTGAGTGGGGACCTTCCCGGGGCAGCCCCTCAGACCTCCCCTCGGCTTTGGGGCTCCCCACAGCGCTGGGGAGTGGTGGTGGGGTCAGGGGCTCGTGGGACAGGGTAGGGCGGTGGGGTGGGATAAGGCAGTAGGATGGGGAGATGGAATGTGATTGAATTTGGGGATAAGGATTCAGGGTGGATAAGGCTTTGGGATGTTTGGCCCCATGGCTGTGGGGCAGTGAAACCTGGCCTAGGTGGGCTGGGGGCTGTTCTGTGTCCCTTCCCTCTATCCCCCTTCCTTTATTCCTACTTCCATGGTCCCCTTTCCTATACTCCCATCCCTGTATCCCTGCGTCCCTACACCTGAAGCGCCGGTGCCAGGGGATGGATGTGGCTGAGTGGATGGGGACAGAGGAGCAGCTCCTGAGCTGCGCAATTCCATTGGCACCCCAGTGGATCTATGGGGTCCTGGGGACCCCCAGCCCTCCCCATCGGTCATTAGTGCTGAATTCTTTAAGCGCATGGCTGTGTGCTCCCGTCAAGAGGCCCCGTTCCCGGCTTGTGTTTTGGGATTACTCATTGCTTACAGAACCACCCGTGTTTTCCCTCCCCTATCGCTCACTTTTCCCCATTGCAGGCAGTTGCGGAAGGGCTCCGGGTGGGGCTGGCAGCGACCCAACGCCGCGGTTCCATCCCAGCATGGGGTGAAGCTCCGGTGTGGGGCCGACGGGCGCCGCTCACCCCACAGCTTTCTGTCAGTTTTTGGGGCACCGTGGCGTCCCCGTGCCCGGCCCCACTGGGTGACTCAGCCCCAATTCCCGCAGCCTCCTCCCAGCCTTATAAGGAGCGGCGGCGGCGGCGTTGGGCTCTTTTGGTTAATGGGTTATTAGGGTGATAAGTGCCTGTGTCACGCCGGGCATCTCTGGAGCTCGTTGCTAATTAGTGCCGATGATGGCCCCCAGGTCAGGTCTGGCCTGTTCCTGCCGAGCGTTGGGATGGGACACACGGTGTTCATCGGCCCCATGGGGTTGTGTTGAGTTTGGGGGTGAGAAAAATGCAAAAAGGTTGAAAATGATCTTCTGGAGAGTTGGACTCATCAGGATTGCTTGACTTCATTTATAGGGAAATTGCCTCTTGCATGGAATGACCTCTTGTATGGGGGTCTTCTCTTTTGGGGTGTTTGGTCCCAAAGAAGAGGTGTGGATTTATGGAGAGCTTTGGGTCCCGGTGAGCTCGCAGTGTGCTGGGATCTGCGCAGCCAGCATTGGACGACTGCGGTGTGAAGGGGAGAGCGGGCGCTGTGTGGGGTTTGGGTTCTGTCCAAGCATGAGTTGAGCACGAGGTGCGCATTACCACTCTTCCTCCTGTGGGAAATGCCCAAATCTGCTGCCCTCCTGTTCTGGGGTTCTGTGCTGGAGGATTGGGGCCAGCACGGAGCATCCCTGCAGCGCTGCGCTTCCTACTGGAGCCCAACCCAAGGTGATGGCAACCCCCACCGTCACAGGGATTGATCACAAACCAAGGCACCATGGGGATAGCGGTGAGCACAGAGCCCCAGAATCCTAGTGTGGGAGCACGGTGGAGCTCAGGGACCGAAGCAAAGCAGCACCTCCAGCGTGCACCATGACCACCCAACATCCCCTTACAGAGGGGTTTGTGCTTTGCAGCCCCTCAGGGGTGTCCCCAGAAGCCGCCGCGGTGCCGCACACTGCGGTGCTGTAGGAAAGGAGCAGTGCAGGCAGAGACTGGCTGCACTGGAGCGCTCGCAACGCTGCAGAGAAGGTTCCTCCCAGAGCAGCCCTACACCTCCCAGCCAATACTCCATCTGTGGCACACAGCACTGGGACTGCAGAGCCTGCCCGTGGCTCCTTGCTGTGTCCTGTCTGCATTACCCCGGTGCTGGATTCATCCAGAATTGGGTTCTATCGTGACAAAAGCATCCTCATGCTGACGGCTGCGTCGCTCTGAAGGCGGTGATGTAAACCGGCGTTGCGCTCCTTGCTTATCGCGGCACATCTTCCCCGGGAGCGGGATTCCCTCGGAGCATTGGCAGCGCCGCACCCTCGCGTGGGCTTATGGGGCCAGGGACGGCGTGGGATCCTCCGGTTGTAAACAACGCTGCGAGTGGGGCCACGTGGGGCGGCTACCGGAATCCCTTTGCTCGGATAATTTCATGATTCCACGATCTCTGAGGTCACTTCCAACCAACCGCTCTGTCACCCCACTGTTCTTTAGTCTGTAGGATCCCTTCCGACCCATCCGTTCTATAATTTCATGATTCTTTGAGCTATGGGGTCTCTTCCAACCCAACTGTGCTGTGATCCCATGACTCTGTGGTTCCTGTTTGCTTCCTATGTCCGTGGAGAGATGCGGGGACGTTTTGCATGAGCCGCTTCCCTGCCCTATAAAACCATGGGCGCTCCTCTGACCTCACCACCAAAATGAGTGCTGTGGGTGCTGTGTGAGCTGCACATCCAGCTTGGCATTTTTTCCAACCGCTTCGACCTTCTTGTTTCTTCCATAGGAAAACCTTCCCTGGAGAAGGGGTTGTGGGGTTAGGCGGTCAGTGCTTTGTGAGGGGTAAAGTGAAGGGGTCCCCTCAGGAGGAACCTCCTCTCCCAGGAGCCCAGGCAAAGGCGAGAGCAGCGTACACCCAATATTTTGGAAACAAACCCACGGCTTGTTGAGACTTGGGCGGTGCAGAGCGCTTGGAAGCGGAGCGGCACAATCCTTTGGCGCTGCTCCGAGGGTGACGTGGCCAGGCGTGGTGTGGGGCAGGCACCGATGGGGCTGGGTGTGGGGTGCTGAGCGGCCCCAGAGCACTGCGATCTGCTGCGGGGTCGTCGGGAGCATGAGTGACTCTGAAGTTGGTGAGGTCAGTGTGGAATGGATTTGGGGGGCCAAAATGGGGTGGTTTAGGTGTCGTGCGCTGCTTTACGGTGTTCTGTGTCCTCTGTGCTGAATGTCACCGGAGTGCCCACACTGGAAGGCTGTGCTGCTGGGAAGGGTTTAAGCAAGAAGCAGTGCTGCTGATGGCCATGGTCCCTTCCCTCAGCTCCGAGGGGTCGATCTGGCTCTGGCTGTGTAGAGAGGGCAGGGGAAGAGGAGAACCTGAGCTGCTTTGCCCCTCTCTGGAAGGGTCCCTGGCACGGTGGCCGCATTATGAGTCTGGCGGTTCCTCCTTTGCACTTCCTCCTCCTTGGTTCCTCCAAGCTCCAATGGGTGGATGTCATTGCTGTGCGTTAACTCACTTGGTTGGAGCCGGGTGTTGTTCTGAGGGCTGCAGCTTCCCAACCACACCGGGTGGCTGTAATCTGAATCCCACCCTCTTGTTCCAGGAGAGCGTAAAGGTGCTGAGGCTGACGCTGCCGAATGAGCTCCCGGGCGAGCGGCGCGAGCAGGCAAAGCAAAAGGTGAGCTCCCATCAGCTCAGGGACACCACAAGAGGTTGGCGTCTGTGTGTCCCAGTGCAGGGATGTGAGCAGGGGCTCAGAACGGGGCTATGGGAAGGAGGCTGGCCCTTAGGGGATCACAGATCTGTGGTTTGGATTGGAAGGGGCCCTTAAAGGCCATCTGGTCCACCCCTCTGTGATGAGCAGGGACAAGGTCCCCCCAACCCAAACCATTTATTTGGTCTGATGGTTCTGAAAGTGATCTGTAAGGCTCCTTCCAACCCAACCATCCCGTGGTGCTGTGGCTGATCATTAAGGTTGTAGAATCACAGAATAGTTTCAGTTGGAAGAGACCTTTAAAGGCCATCTGGTCCAACTCCCCTGTGACGAATGGGGACACCCACAGCTCTGTCAGTGCTCACAGCCCATTAGCCTGACCTTGGGTGTCTCCAGGGACGGCACCACTGCCCACATATCCCTGCAGAACCTGTGCCAGTGCCTCACCGCCCTTCTCATAAAAACCTTCTACCCTGCCTAAGTCTCCCTCTTTTAGTTGGAAACCACTTCCCCTTGTCCTATCACACACACTCTGCTGAAGAGTCCATCCCTGTCTCTGTTACAGCCCTTAAGATCCTGAACACTGTCCTCAGCTCTCCCAGAATCTTCCCCTCTCTGGGCTGCACATATAGCCTGTGCTATAGGGGAGGTGTTCCATCCTATAGATCGTTCCATCCCATGGAAGTTCTGTGAGCTGAAAGTGCAGCTCCCGATGCATTCAGCACTTTAGAGTCAGCTCCTTGGCCGTGCTGCTTTGCTGCAGCTCACGGTGCTGATTTGCCTAGCGCCAGGCGAGCTGTTCCAGCCAGGCTGGTCCCAGAGCTCTTCTCTTTGTGTCTCACAGCCAGTGGGAAAAGCCTTCGCCATGGTGGCCAACAGATCGAGCAATGGCCACGCGTTGGCATCCGAGCGCATCAAGTCCAACGACGGTGATGAGGAGATCATCAAGGTGGGTTCCCAGTTCCCAGGGCTGTGTTTGGCAGTAAGAAAATTAGAAAAAAAAAAACAGGTGGTATTGGGTATTGGAGGCTGAGGGGCACCCATTGTTTTCCGAACATGGTGGGGAAAGAGAGTGTTGGAAGAGGAAGGGCAGTTGTTGCCTTCCAACAAAGTGGGAAAAGAGAATGGTGAAGTGGGAACGTGCAGAGTGCATCAGAGGGGTTGGGGTCGGTGCTATGGGGTCGGCGCTGACGTTTCTGTCTTTCAGGTCTATCTGAAGGCGAGGGCTGAGGGCAGTGCGAACCATGAAGAGCACGTCAGCCAGCTGAAGAGTGAAGTTCGGCACATCCAGGAGGTATCCAAGACCCCCAGGGGCTCGGGTTGCATTGCCACACCGTGCTGTGCCAAGCTGTGCCGCGCTGCGCTGGCAAACTGGCTTAACCCTCCAGTTTGTTGACTTGCCCGTACAGGGCAGTCGTCTAATCAAGCGCCATAAATTAATTCAGCCTGACTAATTGCTCTGCTATATGGACTGAATTTGAAGAGAATTGCACGATGACTTTCCCCCAAGGCTGTCCCCTGCGTGCCTGGGTGCGGCGGTGCCTCTCGTTAAAAGGCAGTTTCTTTGGAATGTCTCATCTCCCAAAGTAAACTGGTTGATGAGCTCTGGGCCCATTAACCCTTCCTCTGCGCCTGCTGGGACACAGCTGCTGGGGAGGCGGAGAGCTTGCAAGACATGGAAGTGGTTGCATGGTGGTTCTGGGCCATATGACTTAGCCAAAAATTGGGGAAAATATTGGGGAAAAAATTGAAAAAAATTGAAGGGGAAAAAAAAAAAAGGAGAGGGTTAAATTTGGATTTGCTCTCACATGAATTTCTGTGCTGAATTTCACTGCTGGCCCCAGGACAGCTGTAATCCTGTACATGAAGAGACAAGAATCAGCTCAAGCCGTGAGCCATGGTGGTGGCTGCGGTGCTGGGAGGGATGGAGCAGATAGGATGGGCTGCTTTCTGCCCCACTGCACCATCCCTAGCCCCAAAATCAAGAGGGGCTCCAGACCTATAACCGAGTGGTGTGTGACTGGGGCATGGAGCTCAGCACCTCCAGTCCCAAAACCAAGCAGTGCTTTATGGGGGCAGGGCTGAAGCTGCGCTGCTGTGCCATCGGAATGCTTTTCTTTGTGAAGGGCTGGGGCGAAGCCTGCACAGCACTGCCCTGCTCACTTTCTCTGACTAATTTGGGGAGCTGCACGTCAAGACTGTGCATGTCGGAGTCCTGCAGGGAGGAACAAGGGTCTTCCCAGCACTTCAAAGGTGTGATCGATGAGTAACGCAGGAAAAATCCTCCCCATTGTTGCTATCTTTTGGGTTTCTTCTGCCCATGAGTGTGAGAAAGCCGCTGGGCAAGGATGGTGCCCTCACAGCAGAGCTCCCATAGCACACAGTGTAGGGACGCGATGGATCGCGGGTCGGTGCTGGGCGTCCTCGCGGCCCCCGCACCCTCGTTTGGTTTCTTTGGGGTTGAAGAATTCTGTGGTGTGGGTTGAGCTAAATTGACTTGCCTTTGCCAGGCTAGAAGTTTTTTGAAGAAGCTGCGGGAAGACTTAAGTAGTAAACTTGAGAGCAGACAAGGAGATAAAGAGCACACACAGGTAATGGGAGCGCGTCTTGGGCGTTGATTGACACGCGCTTTGTGAAACAAACAAAAAGATGTCATCTTTGGGTCCAGAAAGTAATAAAAGGGGCCTTACAGGTTATGGTGCTTGTGGCACCCACTTGGCAACACTCATAGAATCACAGAGTATCCCAAGTTGGACGGGACCCATAAGGACCATTGAGTCCAACTATTAGAAATCCAAAGTTGAAAGGGACCCATAAGGATCACTGAGTCCAACTCATAGAAATCCCAAGTTGGATAGGACCCATAAGGATCATCGAGTCCAGCTCGTGGCTCCACGAAGGACCACCCCAAAATCAGACCCTATGTCTGAGAAGACACCTACAGGTAACATGAGAAACCTGCACAAGTGGGTAAGGAGTCAGGACATGGGACGCATCGGCATCACGCGCGCTCTGCATGCTCCTCTGCCAGGAACGGGGCTGGGATTGCTGCGGGGCTGTTGGGTGTGCGTGGCTGTGACATTGATATGACAGGGTTGGTGCTGCTTGTCCCACGCAGGTGGTGCTGGAGGAGCAAAATGGGAGTTGGCTGCACCCTGAGAGGCTTCGCGCTGAGCCTTGGGAGGAGCAGGTAGGTAGAACAGAGGGATATCAGCTTTGTAGAGGAACACTGGCTTTAGTTTTCTGTCCTCAGGAAAAGGTCAGGCCTTTCTGTTTTGTCTCTAGCAAGCTCATGCAGTAGGGTTTTATCAATGTCAGGAATGAGTACAGCCCAGAGCAGTAAAAGTGATAGAACCATTGGAATTGGAAGGAGTTGCTTCCACCATCCCTGCAGCTTCCATGGGACTCTCCCCAGCAGTTTCCTGTCTGCCTGGAACTGCACCAAGCTCAGCGCTCCAGCTGTGCCCTTCCCAAGGCAGAGCAGAAGAGAGGAGTACCACCCTGCCCTGATGGCCTTGCTCTGCACAATGCACCCCACAGAACCATTGGCTTTCTTGGCCACCAGGGCACACTGCTGGTTCGTGATCAACTGTTGGCCAACTGTTGGTCAACCAGGACACTTGGCTATGAGAACGCACTGCTGTGACCCGTGGCCAACTGTAAACTCTCCACTGATCAGCTGTTGGCCAACCAGGACACCACTGGTCTTCTTGGATACCAGGGCATGCTTCTGGCTTATGGTCAACAGTTGGCCAACCATTGGTCAACCGTTGGTCAGTTGTTGGTCAACCAGAACTCCCAGGTCCTTCTCTGCAGTGCCCCTTTCCAGCAGCCCCCAACCTGCACTGATGCTGTAGTTTTCCTCCCCACATGCAGAATCCTACACTGCCTTGGTGATCCCCATCAGGTTCCACTCCACCTGACTCTCTCAGGGGCAGGGCACGTTGCCTCAAGGGCCAGAGGCTGGAGTTGGGTGTGGGAAAGGAGGCTGGGAGCTGAGGGGGGCTCCCTGGGCACCTCTTTGATGCTGAGTCTCCCCTGTCAATGTCCATGCAGGATGAGGATTGTTCAGGAGATGATGTAGAGAAGATGCGGCAGACAGCGAGGAGGCTGTTCACGAGGCTGCAAGAGGCTGAGAAATGCCATCAGTTGGAGAAGAAGGACCTCGAGGTGAGTACATTGGGCACTTCCCTATTCAGAATGGGATTCTGAGTTGGTTTGTTTTCATTTTGGAAGCCAAAGGCAGCTCTCCCATCAGCCGATGTTGTCCCATCCATGCAGTGCTGTGCCCTGGCTCCTGCCCTCCAGAGTTCAGTGCCACTGCACCTTCTGTCCCCTTCCTTGGGATGGGTCAGGACACAGAGGCTGTGTCACTGTCACCAAATGGCTGCAGTCACCTCCACATGACAGCTTCCCTCTGCTGAGTTGTGCTGGCACACCTGCCATGCTATGTGGTCCCCTCAGGTTGTGTTCCTGTGACGTCCCAGCTCTCATCCTGTCCCACAGACTAAACTGGTCCCAGGAGCTCAGGGCCTGCCCTGATGTTGGTTAGGAATGGCACTGGGGGCATGGCCTGGAGTAGCGACCACATCCTCCAGCACAGGGACATCAGTGGTGACACATGTCCTGGTCCTTCTGTGCAGGAAGCCACATGTCTATAGTGCCACATGGGGATCTTTTTGGCATTTTTGGTTGGATGTGATGCCGACTGTGGGCTCTCAGCCTAGACAGAAGCATTGGGGATGGGTTTGGGGATCTTCAAGTGTTCTCCACTTGCCTTGTTGGAGCCCAATTCCTGTGCTGTGGGGATGCACAGGGCACGTTTGTCCCTCTGCCACTCCAAGCATTGGTGCTGGCTCTCAGGGTTGGTTTGGAGCAGGAGGAGCCCATGGATGGCCCCACACTACACGCGGCTCAGAACAAACATGTTCCTCATGTTGGAGGTGTGTTTCTTGCAAAAGCATTTCGGCGCTCACTCCTTTGAAGTGCTTTGAAGCTGAGGAACTTGGCAAAGAACCTCTCTCAGAAGCATGCCAGGCTGCTTGCCTTCAGCAAAACCCTCCTGCCGAGACCCCAAAGCACAGCAGGGCTCTGAGGCTGTGCTGGGTGGGCACTGAGGGCTCTCTGTCCCTTTGTCCCTTTGCAGAGGACGGTGTCACGGTACCGGGAGGAGGCAGAGCAGACGAGCTGTGCTCTGCGGAGAGCAGAGAGGAATGTGGTGGAGAAGGAGCTGCAGGTGGACGAACTGCAGAGGCTGCTAGCGGGGATGGAGAAGGTACCAGCACTGCGGTCCTGTGTTCTGCCCCTGTGCACAGCTTGGCTTCCCTGCTTCCCAAAAGCCCTCATGAGCCAGCTGCTGGGAACAGCTCCATCCAACTGGTCCTGCTTTAGGCTTGCATTCCCCAGGTCTAGAAGATCTGGTTGGTCTGCACAAAGCCTTCCTGCTGGGTATCCTAGAGATGAGCACACAGTCTAGACAGCTGCCCGGTTCTTCTCGTGGGGGCATTAACACAGCCTGCAGCCTGGGTTGTTAATTATCCAGCTGTGGGCTGCTCATAGTAGCATTAAACTTATAAATCTAACAGTGCAGTACAGCATGAAGCAATGTGAGATTGCGTTTGTGGGCCCAAGAGTGGGGCAGAAGAGCATAGAACTGTAGAACGAATGTATTGGAAGGAACCCTATAGACCACAGAACCATGGGATCACAGAATTGTTGGGTCGGAAGGGTCCCTAAAAACCACCCCCCCATCCTATCACCACCTGCCTGCATAAACAACGCTGCTTTCCCTCCTGTTTGTGAGCTCCCTTTAAGCACTGAGCTGCTTTGTGCCTACTTGCATCCCAGGGTGAAGGGGTGGGATGTCTGCTGTCGGTCACTCCGCGGTGCCTCTGTCTGTCTGTCTGTCTGTCTGTCCCATGTGTAAGCGGAGGGTTGGTGCAAACAACCTGCGGGCACCGCGGCAGCCTGCGTTGCATCTGCTCAGCTCAGTAGGCAACCAGCATTTGTTGCGACTTGTTTCCCCCGCGCGTAACTCTGCCCCTCGCCCCGCTGCAGGAGCACAGGACTTTGCTGCTGAAGATGAAAGACAGCGAAGCAGAGCTGGCACGGCTGAGAAGTGTGGAAGGTGACAAGCTCGCCGAACAGGACCGGTGAGGCTCAGCCTCTGCCAACGCCGCAGCAAGCCCACGCCGCCGGGTCGGGGTGTCAGCGCGCCAGGGCATGACTGCACATTCCTGCGCAGGGTGTGCTCGTCTCTGGCTTGCAAAACAGCACCCCATGAGCTGACTCATCCCCAAATACCTCCCGCAGTGCAGCCCGGCGCTGCCGGGGACCTCTAGTGGCTGCCATCCTGCCCTGGGTGCTGGGCTGGCTTTGCCCAGGCGGTATCCGTGTGCCGCGGGGGTTAATTGGCAGTGAGTCGTTACTGGAAGGCCTCGTTTGTGGGCTGACTCTTCCTGATGTTCCTGTGTCCCCGCAGTCTGCCGTCGGGAGGCTTTGTGGCTCCTGTTTGGATTGGGTTTGTCTCTATCTCTGCTCATCTCATCGAATCGAAGTTTTTCAGACCTGCATGGCTGTGTGGGGGATGGAAGTGGGGTGAAGTGGGGTTGTGTCCTCCTGGAAAGGGGTCTGACAGCTGCTGGATTCTCCCACTGTGTTTTCCCAGGTCGGCCAAGCTGGAGAAGGAGGTGGCAATGCTGCGGGAGAAGATCCACCACCTGGACGACATGCTGAAGAGCCAGCAGCGCAAGGTCCGCCAAATGATCGAGCAGGTGAGCAGGATGGGCTCAGTGAGGCTGTGTGGGGCTGAGCAAAGGGATGGCCCAGAACCCTGTGTGACCACCCCGGAGCAGTGACAAACCCTGCACGGTGGTGACAGTGGCGCCCGGGGAAGGTAATAAGAAGGCTCTGGAAGAGAAGAGGCTCAAACGGTGCAAACAGAAGCTCCTTCACCCAGGGCTGAATTCACAGACTTAATTTGAGGCTTTTCTAATTGTTTTCTATGCAGATTGTGGAGTTAATGCTGTGGGTGTGAGGCTGGCTGAGCCGCCCTCCTTCCTCCATGCTGCTTAACCCATGCACACATGAAAAGGGTTTTCTTTTTTTAAGCCACCACGAATGTTCTTTTGCAGCTCCAGAACTCCAAAACAGTGATTCAGGCCAAAGATGCTGTGATCCAGGAGCTGAAGGAGAAAGTCGCCTACTTGGAGGCTGAGGTGCGTCCCAGCAGGGTCATTTTGGGGTCTGCTTTGGGATCGGGGCACTGCTGGGTGCAGTGAGCTCTGGGCAGGGAGGGCAGCAGCAGCACAGCCGTCCCTGGTGGTGCCACTTTGTGGTGTCACCTCGGTGTCACCAAGGGCTGTGGTGTGGCGGCTCCCAGTGAAGCCAGGGATGCTGTGAGTTCCAGTGGGGTCTGAAATAACTTCATCTCACGCATTTCTCTGGCAGCAGAGCCCAGCTTGCTCACAGAGCTGCATGCATGTCAGAAATTAGAACTGCATTCCAGCCTCTGGGATCGTAGCAAGTGTCAAACTTCTCTTCTTTTTTTGGAGAAACACTGAGCTTCCATCAGCAGTTCAAGCATTTTTTTCTCTCCGTGGTGATTTGTTTTGCTAATCTTTGCTGGGGCAGTGTTTGAACAAAAAGGCAGAGAATGATTGAGGACTCCCACATTCCAAGTCCTCCCTGGCTCCTCCAGGCAGCGGTTCCTGTCTAGGGCTGGATTTCATTCTCCTTGATGCTGGAGCAGCCCCACATTTCCAAGCACAGATCTGTGCCAGCTTCCCTTCACTCACTGTGATTCCCACCTCTTGCAGAACCTGGAGATGCACGACCGCATCGAGCACCTGATTGAGAAGCAGGTCAGCCGGGGCGGCCACAGCTCCAGAGCACGATCCAAGTCGGAGTACGTCAGCAGGTAGGTCTGGGGCTCAGCCCACAGCTCCACATCTCGTTTTGGAGCTCTGGGAGGTGGTGCTGGGCTTGGGGCTTCTCCCTCTGCCTTCGTGAAGGTGCTGTGTTGTTTCTGCTCCTCTTTAGAGCGATGCAGTAAAACAGAGGTTCCCCATATGGGTGGTTTATGGGAAACGTTCAGAGGGCAGTGCTGGGATCACTAATCCCACAGCTTTCGTAGAATCATAAAATGACTTGGGATGAAAGGGACATCAAAGGTCATCTCATTCCAACCCTCTGCCACAGTAAGGGTTACCATCCACCAGACCAGGCTGCCTGGGATCCCATCCAACCTGCTGAGCGCTTCCAGGGATGGAGCACTCGCAACCTTCCTCCCAGTTCCACCCACCTGAACAAATCCTTTTTCTCTTGCAGCAAAAGACTGATGGGCCCCAAACCGCTGCCTCTCATTCGAGTGGTGGAAACATGAGTTTCGAGGGTTGGAGCGAGATGAAGACTCTCCCCTTGTTCTCCTTGACCAGACTTCCCTGCTTGACTGTTCTCTGGCCTCTGTGCTCCGTCTGCCCTGGAGCTGCTGGCGGAGGGCTGCGTCCCGGAGGACAGACGCAGCCAGGGCAGTGCTGGCAGAGGAAGGAGGGCTGCGAGGTGCCCACGCTGCTGTCCCTCGGGGTCCTATGGATGCCAGCCTGGAGCTGGTGGGGACATTGAGGACGAGGTGCTCCCGGGCTGCAGGGCTGAGCTCGCTTCCCTGCTCAGCCTTGGGTTCGCCAGGGTTGCTGTGTGAGCAGCTTCTGAAGGGTCTCATCAAAGCGGAGCCACCTCTTCAGACTGTAGCTTGCCAACGTGGACTCGGGGTTTAAATTATTAAAAAATAATAAAAATTCACTTACAAACCAGGAAATCTTCTTGAAACTGGACTCCTTCCTACAATGAAGCCCAATGAGTTGGGAGCCTCCACCTCTGATCTCCAGCACATCTGCTGCTCCAAACCTGGTGAGGGTTCCTGCGGACAGAATCAGTGGATCGACAGAATCGATGCAGGTGGTGGATCAGCACAGTCAGCACAGTCGTAGAGACTCAATGCTGGATCAACACGGCCGACACGGTGAGCGGATCGACACAATCAGCCGAGGCTCTCAATCAACACAACTGGCACAATTGGCACAGCAACACAATCAGTGGATCGGCACAATTGGCACAGCTGGCGGATGACACAAACCTCCTCCCAGTCCCTCTCTCGAGCGTACAGAAATCGTGCCCAGTGTTCCTCTCGTGTTTAAACCCAGAGGCGGTTTGGTTTGTACCTATATTTATTTCAATAAATTATTGGTGTCTTCCAAGGATGTGGCGACAGGCATGATTGCTGCTGTCCAGCTCCAGGGGAGTGTTTGAGGACTGCCTGTCCCACGTTTGAACTGGAAAATACCAACCTGCTTCCTCCGGCCGCTCCGTCGGTGCGTCGCGACGCGGTGCCCACATTTTGGGTCAGCCCAAAGGAGCTGCTGTGCTGAGCGGGGCGGTGAGGCAGAGTGCTGTATGTACACCTCGCATCTGTCAATACAAAAATATTCCTGTGTTAATCTGTCCGCCTGTGCTCTGTTAATGGATGGTGTTAATGGTGCAGACATGGCACGAGTTCGTGGTTTTCGTGGGATCGTGGAGTGGTTTGGGGTGGAAGGGACCTCTAAAGGCCGTTTGCTCCCACCCCCTTCAGTCCAACCTCTTCTGTGGTTTTGTGGTTCTGAGGATGATCGTTAAGGACCCTTCCAGCCCAACCATCCCGTGGTGCTGTGGGTGATAATTAACGTTATAGAATCACAGAATGGTTTCAATTGGAAGAGACCTTTAAAGGCCATCTGGTCCAACCCCCCTGCGATGAACGGGGACACCCACAGCTCCATGAGGAGCTGAGCGCCCCACACAGCCTGAAGGAACGGCCATACAGCTCCAGGACCGGCACCACTGCCCACATATCCCTGCAGGACCTGTGCGGTGCCTCCCCACCCTTCTCATACAAATACCCTTCCTTCTACCCTGCCTAAAGCTCCCCCTTTTAGCCGGAAACCGCTTCCCCTCGTCGTATCACACACACACACTGCTGAAGAGTCCATTCCCGTCTCCTACGGCCCCATTACGGCCCCATTACCGCCCCATTACATCCCGCACGCCGCCGTCACGCCGCAACTCCCGCAGCCCCGCGCCAACTACATTTCCCATCGTCCCCCGCGCCCCATCGCGCTCCACGGCGGTTCGGACTACGTTTCCCATCAGCCCTTGCGCGTACGGTGGCCGGGGGGGCACTGCGCGCGTGACGGCGCGGCCCGGCGCTGCTCGCCAAGATGGCGGACGAGGAGGGTGAAGGGCCGCCGCGCTCGGCCGCGGCCCCGCAGCGGAACGGCGGCGATGAAGGAGCCCCGGGGGGACCGCGGGTGGTCCGCATCGTGAAATCCGAATCCGGATACGGCTTCAACGTGCGGGGTCAAGTGAGCGAGGGCGGGCAGCTGCGGAGCATCAACGGCGAGCTGTACGCGCCGCTGCAGCACGTCAGCGCCGTGCTGGGCGGGGGGGCGGCCGACCGCGCCGGGGTCCGCAAAGGAGACCGCATCCTGGAGGTGTGAGTACGGGGGGGGCCGCCGCCGGGCCCGGGCTGCGGGGG